TAACTGGAGGAACTGGAAGAAGATGAGAAAAAAAAACAAGGAAGAACCTCATATGTGGATAATTAGATTTCTTTTCTCCACTCTCATATTCTTCTTCTTCTACCCTTCCTGTTCATATTTTGTGTTCATTCAGTGTCCATTATCAGCTGAATAGCAGTCACCTCAGTATACAGTATGAGCATAGCAACTAGATCTGGTGGTTTCAGCTGTCACACTTTGTGTGAATATTTTTAACGGATGTCTATAATGTGTATGTGTGTTTGAAATTTGGAGTAGGGAAAAAGCTAAGTGGGGGCCGAGAAAGCACATAATTGGTGTGTACCCTTGAAAAATGACAAGGTGAACCTTGAATAAGTGGTGCAGAGTTTGCTTTGACCCTTGCCATCGCAGTGAATAGGACAGGCAAAAGAAAAGAAAGATATTAGAAAGTCACGGTGCATGGGAAAATGTTAGCAGGGGAAATAATAGACTCATCAGAACAAGGATTCTCTGTGCATGGGGCCCTTGATTGAAGCAAAAAAATACTGACACAGTTAGCTGCCATGAATGTTCTTTATGGGTGTTTCTTGAGATTGGCTACCTCATCTTGTTAATTGGTTACCTCGTCTTGTTAAATAAGAGGCAGCTATATATGAGTTTCTTGAGATTGGCTACCTCATCTTGTTAAATAAGAGGCAGCTATATAGGAGTTTCTTGAGATTGGCTACCTTGTCTTGTTAAATAAGAGGCAGCTATATGGGAGTTTCTTGAGATTGGCTACCTCATCTTGTTAAATAAGAGGCAGCTATATGGGATTTTCTTGAGATTGGCTACCTTGTCTTGTTAAATAAGAGGCAGCTATATAGGAGTTTCTTGAGATTGGCTACCTTGTCTTGTTAAATAAGAGGCAGCTATATGGGAGTTTCTTGAGATTGGCTACCTCATCTTGTTAAATAAGAGGCAGCTATATGGGATTTTCTTGAGATTGGCTACCTTGTCTTGTTAAATAAGAGGCAGCTATATAGGAGTTTCTTGAGATTGGCTACCTTGTCTTGTTAAATAAGAGGCAGCTATATGGGAGTTTCTTGAGATTGGCTACCTCATCTTGTTAAATAAGAGGCAGCTATATGGGATTTTCTTGAGATTGGCTACCTTGTCTTGTTAAATAAGAGGCAGCTATATAGGAGTTTCTTGAGATTGGCTACCTCATCTTGTTAAATAAGAGGCAGCTATATAGGAGTTTCTTGAGATTGGCTACCTTGTCTTGTTAAATAAGAGGCAGCTATATGGGAGTTTCTTGAGATTGGCTACCTCATCTTGTTAAATAAGAGGCAGCTATATGGGATTTTCTTGAGATTGGCTACCTTGTCTTGTTAAATAAGAGGCAGCTATATAGGAGTTTCTTGAGATTGGCTACCTTGTCTTGTTAAATAAGAGGCAGCTATATGGGAGTTTCTTGAGATTGGCTACCTCATCTTGTTAAATAAGAGGCAGCTATATGGGATTTTCTTGAGATTGGCTACCTTGTCTTGTTAAATAAGAGGCAGCTATATAGGAGTTTCTTGAGATTGCCTTTTCTTGTTAAATAAGAGGCAGCTATATGGGAGTTTCTTTAGATTGGCTACCTTGTCTTGTTAAATAAGAGGCAGCTATCTAGGATTTTCTTGAGATTGGCTATCTTGTCTTGTTAAATAAGAGGCAGCTATATAGGAGTTTCTTGAGATTGGCTACCTTGTCTTGTTAAATAAGAGGCAGCTATATAGGAGTTTCTTGAGATTGGCTACCTTGTCTTGTTAAATAAGAGGCAGCTATCTAGAATTTTCTTGAGATTGGCTATCTTGTCTTGTTAAATAAGAGGTAGCTATATAGGAGTTTCTTGAGATTGGCTACCTCATCTTGTTAAATAAGAGGTAGCTATATAGGAGTTTCTTGAGATTGGCTACCTTGTCTTGTTAAATAAGAGGTAGCTATATAGGAGTTTCTTGAGATTGGCTACCTTGTCTTGTTAAATAAGAGGCAGCTATATGGGAGTTTCTTGAGATTGGCTACCTTGTCTTGTTAAATAAGAGGTAGCTATATAGGAGTTTCTTGAGATTGGCTACCTCATCTTGTTAAATAAGAGGTAGCTATATAGGAGTTTCTTGAGATTGGCTACCTCGTCTTGTTAAATAAGAGGTAGCTATATAGGAGTTTCTTGAGATTGGCTACCTTGTCTTGTTAAATAAGAGGCAGCTATATGGGAGTTTCTTGAGATTGGCTACCTTGTCTTGTTAAGTAAGAGACAGCTATATAGGAGTTTCTTGAGATTGGCTACCTTTTCTTGTTAAATAAGAGGCAGCTATATAGGAGTTTCTTGAGATTGGCTACCTTGTCTTGTTAAATAAGAGGCAGCTATATGGGAGTTTCTTGAGATTGGCTAACTCATCTTGTTAAATAAGAGGCAGCTATATAGGAGTTTCTTGAGATTGGCTACCTTGTCTTGTTAAATAAGAGGCAGCTATATGGGAGTTTCTTTAGATTGGCTACCTTGTCTTGTTAAATAAGAGGCAGCTATCTAGGATTTTCTTGAGATTGGCTATCTTGTCTTGTTAAATAAGAGGCAGCTATAAGGGAGTTTCTTGAGATCGGCTACCTCATCTTGTTATATAAGAGGCAGCTATATCTTGGGATTGGCTACCTCATCTTCTTAAATTGTCTAAATGTAAAATGAAACCAATAATAAACAAGTCTACAAAGAATATCATGGAGTCACAGATGGAAGTCGTTAACTGATAGAAAAACTGAGACAGCTGGTGTTTTTCAAATTTCTTATGAGAAGGAATAGACTCAAGAACTTGGTGATGAGATTAAGAAGTAGGCAAAGAGATAGATACCTGGATAGTTCAGAAAATATGGTTGGGGGCTGGGGGAAAGAACACTGAGTTGATGCATGATTCTGGTGAGATGGAGAAACATGATAGCCTATGTTTATTGGTTTGGCACATAATGATGATGTCAGAGAGCTTGGTCTAAGTTGTGGAAGGCCTGTGCTCAGTTTGGAGTTGAAAGCATAATAAACAAACACAGTGCGAGTTGGGAAAGCTATCAGTGGCCACTACAGGCACATGTGGAACACTGGCTTGATGCATGATTTTGGTGAGATGGAGAAACATGATAGTCTATGTTTATTGGTTTGGCACATAATGATGATGTCTTCTTCTTCGCGCTCACCGGCTTAAACTCCATCAGAAAGTTTAGGTTGTTCGTCCACTTCTGGACTGCAATCTTTTTTCAGAACCTGGGTGTTGCGTGGGCATCTGTTTGACAGATCTGACTCATTCATGTGCAGACTGTTGGTTCCTTGCCTCTCAGGCAGATGCACTCCGACTTTAAAGGAAGCTCCCAATTAGTCGACTCTTACAGCATGCTTTTGGGTCGGCAGTGGGTCTATTCTTGTTTTCCCCCTATATTAGGGCCCAGGAAGTGATGATGTCAGAGAGCTTGGTCTAAGTTGTGGAAGGCCTGTGCTCAGTTTGGAGTTGAAAGCAGAATAAACAGACACAGTGCGAGTTGGGAAAGCTATCAGTGGCCATTACAGGAACATGTGGAAGAAGAACTAACTCTCGTGCTTTGAGAGAGCTGTTTTTCTAGCTTTTACTGGTTTTGGTTGACCTGATGTATGTGGACAGTGCCCGTTATGCCTGTATGGTACTGGCTGCAACTGAATATTTTGTATACATAGTGGATATGATTATATTTACTCACGAAAAAAGTTTTAATAATATTGGGAGTGAGAAAAACAAATCTCACATGATGGATTCACTGTGACTCATATAATTGTATTATTATGTCACATTGTTCTATTTGGCAAAGTGATCAAAACCGCTTTTAAATAGTCAGAGGGAAGGAAATCATTTAATTCTTTGCTCTATTTGTAGTTAGTGACTGGAAACGTTTTAAAATTTGTTTTAGTCATGTGATTTCAAAATCACCAAAGAAGCAGAGGACTTCACGACTGCCTGTCTTCTCAGTGGTACAGTGTTTCAACCCGCAGGGCATTTAAAGAAAGTGACCATGACTCCAAATTATCTGTGCTTTTTCTCTTTTCTACCTCTTCTCTTCTAATTCTTCTCTTCCTCTACTTCCTCTCTTCTTCTACTTCTCTTTTCTACCTCTTCTCTTTTTCTATTTCTCTTCTTCTACTTCTATTTTCTACCTCTTCTCTTCTTCTACTTCTCTTCTTCTACTTCTCTTTTCTCCCTCCTCTCTTCATCTACTTCTCTTTTCTACCTCTTCTCATCTAATTCTTCTCTTCCTCTACTTCTTCTCTTCTTCTGCTTCTCTTTTCTACCTCTTCTCTTCTTCTACTTCTTTTTTCTACCTCTTCTTCTACTTCTCTTCATCTGCTTCTCTTTTCTACCTCTTCTCTTCTAATTCTTCTCTTCCTCTACTTCTTCTCTTCTTCTGCTTCTCTTTTCTACCTCTTCTCTTCTTCTACCTTTTTTCTAATTTATTAAGAAGTATAAGGTTACGTTTAAAAAAAAAAACCTAACTAATATTGACTGCATTATTTCATAACTAAAATGTGTATAACCTGTATTAGTTCATCAGCTTCTCGGATTATCAACATTTCACAAGCTCGCTTGTGCGGATAAGTTGCTGAGTTATGTCACCGTGATTCCTCACCATTAAAGGCCCAGGATCTTCCTGAGACTGGATCATGTCTCCGCTACACTCATACCCAGTTTTTGTTTCCGTTCCCGCAGGTGTCATCAGGATTGAACACATACTTCAACCTTCATACCGCCATTTCTTCTGCTACGGTTTGCAGTCTTTTCACCCTTCAAGGACGGAAATGTTCATTTAATCTTCAAATTTAAAATTGCCACCTTTGCCAGTAAAAGATAACTTGCCCAGAACCATGAGAAAGTGTCTATGATGGCAGAAGAACATTTAAATTGAATGCCTCCTTTACAGACTTACTGATTTTATTCCTAAAAATTTCTGAAAACGGCGAATCCCAACAAATCCACGTACTAAAGATGAATGGGGACCCGAAAACAAATACGTTTAAGTATTTTTCTTACGGCAGCAATTTGTTAAGGGAGAGAATTTTGATCAACAACCCAACAGCAGAAGTCTACGGCATTGGGAAGTTGTCAGTAAGTATCTTTATGTTTACGTGAAGTAAACTGTTTTGCTTTCTTTAAAGATAGAGTAACTAAATAAAAAAAGTGTGATATTGTTTTTTTTTAAATGCTAATTTGTTGTCTTTACTGTAGGTAGTGGTTGCCTCTGTAAGTGCAGTTTGATAGCCCCATAATATTGAGTTTTGAAGTGATTTGCAGGCATTATGGTGGCTAACTTTTTTGCATTGACTGTGACAACGGTAATATTGTCCCATCGTATCATTTTTTGGGAACATACATTTGCCTGTTAGAAACACTCTGTACCCAGGCATTATTGGGCTTGTTTTGTAAGGCCCTGTAAAGGATACACAACTTACTTGAGGCACTATCAGCATCTGTGGCGTAGGGGTTGTGAACAAGGTTTTACATTCCCAACATACTAGGGTTCATAGTCAGCTGCAGGTGATTTGGAGGGTGACCTGTTTGCATTAACTGTGTCAGTGATGTGAGCTTGTACCATTCAGAAGTAACAGCAAACAATGGTACACAAAAGTGACCGCTAACAACAAATTTCAGCAGATACATGTGCAGGTTGGTCTGGATATCCTGTGGAGGATATGCAACCAACTGCAGGTAAATTTTTTTTTAAAAACCCAGCTATAGACTAGGCATTTGTCTCCCAGTTGTTGGTTCTAGATGCAAAATGGACTGTCTTGAATGACCATGGGTGTAATCACCTACCATATTCAGTCTTGAATGACCATGGGTGTAATAACCTACCATATTCAGTCTTGAATGACCATGGGTGTAATAACCTACCATATTCAGTCTTGAATGACCATGGGTGTAATCACCTACCATATTCAGTCTTGAATGACCATGGGTATAATCACCTACCATATTCAGTCTTGAATGACCATGGGTGTAATCACCTACCATATTCAGTCTTGAATGACCATGGGTGTAATCAACTACCATATTTAGTCTTGAATGACCATGGGTGTAATCACCTACCATGTTCAGTCTTGAATGACCATGGGTGTAATCACCTACCATGTTCAGTCTTGAATGACCATGGGTGTAATAACCTACCATATTCAGTCTTGAATGACCATGGGTGTAATCAACTACCATATTCAGTCTTGAATGACCATGGGTGTAATCAACTACCATATTCAGTCTTGAATGACCATGGGTGTAATCAACTACCATATTCAGTCTTGAATGACCATGGGTGTAATCACCTACCATATTCAGTCTTGAATGACCATGGGTGTAATCAACTACCATATTCAGTCTTGAATGACCATGGGTGTAATCACCTACCATATTTAGTCTTGAATGACCATGGGTGTAATCACCTACCATGTTCAGTCTTGAATGACCATGGGTGTAATCACCTACCATATTCAGTCTTGAATGACCATGGGTGTAATCAACTACCATATTCAGTCTTGAATGACCATGGGTGTAATCACCTACCATGTTCAGTCTTGAATGACCATGGGTGTAATCACCTACCATATTCAGTCTTGAATGACCATGGGTGTAATCAACTACCATGTTCAGTCTTGAATGACCATGGGTGTAATCACCTACCATGTTCAGTCTTGAATGACCATGGGTGTAATCACCTACCATATTCAGTCTTGAATGACCATGGGTGTAATCACCTACCATATTCAGTCTTGAATGACCATGGGTGTAATCACCTACCATGTTCAGTCTTGAATGACCATGGGTGTAATCACCTACCATATTCAGTCTTGAATGACCATGGGTGTAATCACCTACCATGTTCAGTCTTGAATGACCATGGGTGTAATCACCTACCATATTCAGTCTTGAATGACCATGGGTGTAATCACCTACCATTATCAGTCTTGAATGACCATGGGTGTAATCACCTACCATATTCAGTCTTGAATGACCATGGGTGTAATCACCTACCATATTCAGTCTTGAATGACCATGGGTGTAATCAACTACATATTCAGTCTTGAATGACCATGGGGTGTAATCACCTACCATATTCAGTCCTGATCTCCAAACCCAGGATGGGGGTTGCAGGCTGGGAGAGCACGCAGGACTTTCTGATATAAGTGGACCAACTAACTGCCTGGACGCCTCAGATAGAGTGCCCGCAACACAACTGTCAAAACTAATTTTCTAAAGCCCTCATTGTGGACTCCAGAAGGCAAAGAGAGCCGCAGTGAAGCACCTAAAGAAACTGCGACAGACACCCTCAAGCTCATGAGAGGAAGTGGAGATGGCAGAGAATGTGAAAAAAGATAAGGTGGAGGTTTTCAAGCACTGTGCTGCGGAGGCCCCCCCTAAAAAGTGGGAAAATTTTGTGAATGTTATTGGAGGCGATAAAACTCTGGAAAAATTCTGAAAACTGCAAAGGCAGGTGAAAAGAGAAGAGCAGCCTATAACAGTAGTGACAATTTAAAGAGACGATGGTGTGCACATGCCAACAGTCATAGAGTGTCTTTCAAGGACCATGTGACGATGGTTGTGATAAGATGCGAAAAATGACTCAATGCACTTAAAACTATGCATTGGACATAGAGCAGCAAATGCTTTTCACATTGTATCAACACTTGTTCATTTCAGTGATTGATTATGGACTAGGACTGCTTACTGTTACATGGTTAAACTAGAGCGCATACAGAAGGCAGCTATGCAGGTCATTTGAGGCAGTACCAGAGACACCCCAGTGGTGTGTATGCGATACATCCTTGGTTTGATGACTGTTTCCAGTAGGCTCAAGGTGCTGCAGGCGAAGTCATGTCTGAGTAGCTGCAGACACAGATCACACTTTGCACGAAGCTATAGAGGCAGTTAAGGGCCATCGGCTGATAAGAGGAAAGTCATGGGTGGCTCATGCAGAAGACATAATCAGACAGGTTTGCATCCTGGAGAGCATTGAGCGAGGAGAGGGTCAGAGTGCCAATGGAGCAGTCAGATTTGTGTAGAGTCATAGTCACCTTGAGCCGTGAGTGCAGAGACTGGCCAGCTGGTGCCACGGAGATAGAAATTCAACATGTAATTCAACATAATGCTCGCTGAGAGGATATGATTATTTACACAGACGGTTCAGTGTCAAGAGGCAAAAGAAGTGCTTGGGGGATCCCGGCAAAAGCTAATGGTCGACGTTTGGTGCAGGAGAGCCTAGCATATTATACCACAACATCCAGTTTAAGAATGGATATGGAGGTGGTCACTGCAGTTTTTCGCTGGTTATAGAACATGACACACACACACATCGGGATTGTAACTGACTTAGAAAGAATACTGAGGAAGGTGAGGACAGATATGCTTCATACAGAGTGGCATACTTCGCTTTGGAGGTCACAGGTGAGGAGCACTGGATCTCTTCTCTGGGGCATGCCGGTGTGTTGAGAAATAAACAGATTGATAGACTGGCTGGCTATGCACAACTTGGTGGAATATTGATGCATGATAGCCATACAGGGGTAAGGCCTTTTAGGAGAGCACATACAATTTGGAGGAGCAATTATGTGTCGCATTTGTTTATTCTCGCAAGGAAATGCACTAAATCTTAGTATATTTGTTTGCTAGCTATGCTATTATCAGTGGACAGTTCATTTGTTGAATGTTATAAGTTTATCTATTTCCTAAATTTGTTAAAAGGCACTAAAAATTTGTTTATTGCCACTTGACCACTGTGATCCTCAGGGGTACAAGCTCATGTTTGACACACCCATTGGATGTGAGCACAACAGATGGTATGGAGCTCATGCAACTATTCGTTCGGCCGACCCTGATAACTATGTCTGTGGAGTTATTTGGAATGTACACATGGAGGACATGGAGAATCTAGATAGGTGAGATTTGTGATCCCAATATCCAGTTCATCGGCAAAAGTGTTTCTGTCTTGGATCCTTGCAACTAGTTGATTGGAAAATGTGTCTGTCTGTGATCTTGTGATTGAAGTTATAGCTCTCCAGTGGCAGAGATGTGGTTTTATAGAGGAATGATGAGATTTCTATGGACTAATAAAAAGAGTAATGAGGATTTCGTGAAAGAAACTGACTCACAAAAAGAATTGACTGCTCACATCAGAAGAAGACAGTCAAAATTCATTGGTCATATCATTAGAAGGAGAAAATTGGAGTGCATCAGGACAGAGAAGTTGGAGGGAAAAATATTATTTTTTTTGGGTTTCTCTCAGGCATGAGAAACCAGTGACACCAAGCTACGGTGAATAGGATGTTACTTGTTTATCAAAATATATCTGTAATAATGTCTTCATTATACTCAGTCATGCTTCATGCTTACATGCTTCTTACGTTAAATATATAGGAGAGGCAGCGGATGGTAAGAGTGTTTCAACATAGGATCAATATTTACCATTTAGTGTGGTTGATATAGATTTTTGAAAGAGAAGTGCGTGTAAGTTGTCTCATTATCCTGGGCTAGTACATCCTGTGTTAGATTCTAATTAGAAAACCTGCCTAGTAAAGTACTTGTAAGTTGTTCTATGCTAGATACTAATTTAAAAACCTGCCTAGTAAAGTACTTGTAAGTTGTCCTATGCTAGATTCTAGTTAGAGAACTTGCCTAGTAAAGTACTTGTATGTTGTCCTATGCTAGATTCTAATTCTAATTAGAAAACCTGCCTAGTAAAGTACTTGTAAGTTGTCCTATGCTAGATTCTAATTAGAAAACCTGCCTAGTAAAGTACTTGTAAATTGTCCTATGCTAGATTCTAATTAGAAAACCTGCCTAGTAAAGTACTTGTAAGTTGTCCTATGCTAGATTCTAATTAGTGAACCTGCCTAGTAAAGTACTTGTAAGTTGTCCTATGCTAGATTCTAATTAGAGAACCTGCCTAGTTAAGTACTTGTAAGTTGCCTCATTGTCCTCCTTGGCTAGAATGTCCTAAGCTAGATTCTAATTGGAAATAATTTGTGCGGTTTGTGATTATGTTGATTGCACATTTAGAGTTTGTGCGCTGTACCAGGATTCTCCATGTTTGATCTATGGGAGACGACTGGTGCTTATGGAGAAAGCTTGAACGATTAAAGTTTTCCTTATAAAATGATCTGAATCAGATCTAATAAATACAATATGATAAGACTTACATTGATTGGCTCCCATAGAAAAAACTTTTCCTCTTTATTATTGTTATGTAGTTAGTTCACATAGAGAAAGGCCTCGGCCGAAATGTCAGCTTGTCTGTTTTGTGCAAGTTGTTCTCCTTTCCCCTTAGTCACAGTTCATTGAATTAATTACTGTTAGAAAGAAGCAGAGAGATATAAGGGGGCACTGGAGACTCAAGGGTTCCTCATCTGTTTATTTTCTATTTATCGTTTCCTTTTAGGAAATGCTAAAGATTTGGCTAAATCTGATGCAAAACCATTGCTGAAGTTGTCTTATCATAGTGTAGCAATAACATTCAACAGATGTTCACTATATTGACTCACCAAAAAACAGACTGACACTATCTGCAGTTGGTAAAATTCCATGCATGTGTATAAAGGTAACAAACAGCCAGGACACGACCCGGGCATAAAGGTCACAAACAGCCAGGACACGACCCGGGCATAAAGGTCACAAACAGCTAGGACATGACCTGGGCATAAAGGTCACAAGCAGCTAGGACCTGACCTGGTAATAAAGATCACAAGCAGCTAGGACCTGACCCGGGCATAAAGGTCACAAACAGCCAGGACATGTCTTGGGCATAAAGGTCACAAACAGCTAGGACACGACCCAGGCATAAAGGTCACAAACAGCCAAGACACGGCCTGGGCATAAAGGTCACAGACAGCTAGGACACCACCTGGGCATAAAGGTCAAAAACAGCTAGGACCTGACCCGGGCATAAAGGTCACAAACAGCCAGGACACGACCCAGGCATAAAGGTCACAAACAGCCAAGACACGACCTGGGCATAAAGGTCACAGACAGCTAGGACACCACCTCGGCATAAAGGTCAAAAACAGCTAGGACCTGACCCAGGCATAAAGGTCACAAACAGCCAGGACATGTCCTGGGCATAAAGGTCACAAACAACTAGGACACGACCTGGGCTTAATCTGTTTGGAAAAATTAAGGTTGAATGTTTCTTTAACAGACTTTGTACTTTCTACTGAAGTCTAATTGTGTAAACTTCATTGACATATATTAATGTAGTTTAAATTATTCTAACTGTTTGTATTCCATGTTGTTTGAGCAGCCTCTTTATCAACTTCTTCACTAGAAAGTTTTTTTTCTTACAACTAATGAATGAATACAGTGGAACCATCCAGGTGTTCCTGGATATAAGTTTTGGAGGATATTAAGTCAGGCCCACTCAATTGGGGGGGGGGGGAGGGGGGGAGCCTCAGTATACGAGCAGAACAGCATCACAACAATTTTCGAATGGATTAGGTCACACTAACATTACTGAAGGAGGACTTAAGCCGGTTGACAAGACACTTGATGATGATACACCCCATTTTCTATTGCGGGCACAAATAAAGGAAGAAAAAGCAGTGCCACACATTCCTGCTAAAGAAATGAAAAACGTCATTTTTGGGTGATTTTTGGCAGGCTGAAACAAAATAAAATTATTTACATTAATTGTAATGAGAACAATAGTTTCATTATACGAGTTAGTCACCATTTCACTCTATAGTAATTTGAATTAATTAAGGTGTACTATTTCTGTAATTTCTGTGAGATGTGTTTAATTTAATTTCAGATTTACTTTTGTGTATTTCATTTCAGAGTTAAGACTGACTTTTTATTTCTTGTTTTTAATTTCAGCCAAGAGGCCTACTATTACCCCATTGAAGTGCAAGTGATCGGAGACCGTGGTGAGCTTGTGGCCTGCCGAACCTATGAGATGATCGAGGAAACTACTGGTGATTGCCTGCCGAGCCCCTTCTACAAAAAGGTAGTGATTGACGGAGCTAGACAGAATGATCTACCAGAGGAATATATAGAATACTTGGAGAGTTTTCCTGACAACGGGGTCACCGCCACCCCACCCAACTATCGCAAAGTCTTGAACATGGTGGAAATTTTAAATGATGAAGATAGTTTTGAGAAGATTCAGAGACATGAAAATGGGATTTAGATTCAGTCCCATGAAAAAAGGATTTAGTTTTGTGCTTTCTCTTATATCTCAGCACACTGGATTGTATTTGCAGTGACAGAATATATTTTAGCAATGTATCTATTAGCTGTGTATAGTTTATTATGTATGCTCTCTACTTCTAACAGTTGTAACATATTGATACAGTGTACGTTTTGTATATTTTATCATGCGGTAGCCTTTGTTTTATAAAGACTACTTTTAACCCTATATTTTAGACAGTTGTATGTATCTTGTAACCTTTCAGTCTTCATCAGTTCATAAACATGCAGTCATCTCTTTCGCGAGGGGGAGGAGGCAGGTCCGACCACCAGTGTGCCTATTGTCATGTAGCAGGTCCTATGTGAAACATCACTCCCATCCTGCATTCTGTAAAGACAGCAGTTCTTTGCCGATTCCTCTGCCTGATGTATTATCATCCCCTAGGTCGTGGCTATTCAGCTAAATTTTTCCAGGGGCCAACATTTGGAAAATAGGGATCGTCATGGGCCAGTGGCCCTAGCCTTAGCATAGAAAGATCACTAATACAGTGGCAATGATCCGTGGGCTGCTTGGTAGGTCATACTAGGCGAGATCTGGAGCATGGGCCACCAGTTGAATAGCCTTGGCCTAGGGACTAGTTTTTTTCCTGCCTGGATTGACCTCTTGTTTAGGATGGTGTAAGTCCGGGTGGTCTTGATCCGGGGAATTAGGGTTGCCATTGCTAGTACCATCCTCACAAATGGTGCCGATAAAAACTATATTTTTGCGCCAGTGGAAAACAGTCGAGCACCCAATTGAGGATTGGAATCTGGCTCTTCTAAATGAGAACCCGGCATTCTTAACCATTCATACAAGAAGATAAAAAATAGTGTTGTTGAAATTTAAAAAGCAAAATCTGTAGAAGTGGTGAGGGAGGGAGGGGGAGTGCAGATTGTCATCACCAAGTACCACCTGACCTTGTAACGGCACTGAGTACTGGGTCCTGTCGTGGGATATAGAGACTAGTCAGTGATACTTGGTAACAGTACTGGGTCCTGTCGTGTGATAGAGAGACTAGCCAGTGATACTTGGTAGCAGTACTGGGTCCTGTCATGGGATAGAGAGACTCGCCAGTGATACTTGGTAGCAGTACTGGGTCCTGTCATGTGGTAGAGAGACTAGCCAGTGATACTTGGTAGCAGTACTGGGTCCTGTCATGGGATAGAGAGACTAGCCAGTGATGCTTGGTAACAGTACTGGGTACTGTCATGGGATAGAGAGACTAGCCAGTGATACTTGATAACAGTACTGGGTCCTGTCGTGTGATAGAGAAGCTAGCCAGTAATACTTAGTAACAGAGTAGTAGAGGTTGAAATGAAGAGAGAAAGACTAGATTTTGAGTCTCCGGCAACAGTTGAATTGAACAGATAAGTTGGAGTTTGACACTGCTTTACAAGACAACTGAAGAATATCTTATTGATTGCTTTAAAGAGCTGAGGAGAAATAAAACAACCCTTTTGTTCTAACTCTTCAGTCTGACACACATTCATAGATCTTTGTGTGGGGGTGGGGGGGGGGGTTGTCTCTTTTCTTCTGCCTTCCAGCTCACAATGAAGCATAGGCCTTCACCCAATTTACACAAAAGCTTTGTAGATTTGTTCACACAGTTGGTTGATTTTCACAGTAAAAAGTTGCATACAGGACAAAGTATCCAGTCGCATGCCAAGCCTCATTAGTTACCTTTGACTCTATTTGTGGTCATTGTTTGGTCATACATTTGCAATATTACTTCTTCTGTATTTGCCCTTAAAACATCGGTTGGCATGTTGCATTGGGGTTTACAGCTAGGCTGTGGTATCTGCTTTTCCCCAACTGATCCAGTTTCAGCCAACCCTTAATTGGTTGCCTCTTACAGCATGCTTGTTAGAAAGGCAGGTGGTTTGGTCCCATCTCCACCCTGCCAGACAGAGCTCTGGAACCCACAGTTGGCATAATGTTACTAATCTTTGCTTCCATTATGTATGCCAGCGAGATACACAGGTAACCGTGTCTCATTATTGACTTCGATGTTTGGGCAAAACTTGTGTGCTGTTTTAACTTCATTTTTTACTTTTAACTTCTTTCTTTTCCAGAGCGTTCATCATCATTATCTTGTTGTGTTGTATGTCAGACCTCGCAGTCTGTTCCTCAGTTTCATACTATCCTGTGCAATCAGTTGTTGTTATCGATTCAGCGGCGCATAAGCTTTTGCCCTTTGGCCCAATTCCATGTAGTGGAATTTGCATGTTTTCACAAGCTGTGCAATCAGTTCAACATCATGGATGGAATACTATCCATCACCTTTGGCCTCTCCTATTTGCATTCATTTTAGGGTTCCTTTTGGGCATCCTCAATTCCTCAGTCCCTCTGTTTGTCTGGTTACCCAGATATTTCTCTGATTTCAATTAGACATCATTCTTCATATTCACTGGCTGTAAACCCGGAGGAAAGTTTTAGTTGTTCACCTAGCTCTGGACTTTCTTCTTCTTCTATAACTTGAGTGTTGCGTGCACTTCACCTTTTTTTGAATTTACCCCGGAGTGTTACCAGATTAAAATAACTGCCTGGGTTAGAGAGAGAGAGAGTTAATCAGCAGAAATCAAGAAGCAGGTGAACTTTTATCTGTTGACATGGCTGTTGTAAATATTCCTTGATCGTCATCTTCCTTGTGTTAAAGCAGCTAATATTGTTTGATTGAAATATGAGCGCTAGGGAGTTCATCAATGTCAGCTTGGAATGCCTAATGTCAGCCAGCTTGAAATATCAGCTATAATGTGAAATACTGAATTTGAAGACAGGAATCAGGAACAGTAGATTGCACAGTTTACCTGGCATATTTCACTTATCTTGTGAGGTGTTTACTACAGTAACAATTCAATATAATTAACAAATAAATTGTGGGTTCCGGGGCCCTATTATAGAGAAAACAAGAATAGACCCACTGCCTACCCAAAAGCATGTCGTAAGAGTCGACTAATTGGGAGCTTCCTTCAAAGTCAGAGTGCATCTGCCTATGAGGCAAGAAACCAGCAGTCTGCATACAAATAGTCAGATCTGTAAAACGGATGCACACACAACACTCAGGTTCTGGAACAGGACTGCAATACAGAAGGGGATGAACAGCCAGAACTTTCCCCAGAGTTTACATCTGGTGAACGCGGAGAAGAAGAAGAAGAAGAAATGCAGCCATATGTGCCAGACTGTAGATTGTGCAGTCTGTTGTTTGTGTCTTCTTTGTTCACATTTACAATAGGGAAACATTTCTTTAATTTTTCCAGAATGCCGAAAGTTTATTGAAAATAGTAAAATTCAACAGAAAAACCAAATAATACCCTGAAATACCAGACATTATTATAAAATTTTAAATCCCAACATGAAATCGTAAATTTCAACTCAAGAAAATCAATTTTAGCTTGAGAAAATCAATTTTTAACACTGCAAAAACATTGAACAGCAAAAGTAAACAATTACGCTTGGTTTTATTTACAGAGTTTTAAATTTTATCTCTTAATAAAACAAACCATCGAGAACACCAGTTAATTCCGGTCCTGGCCAGTATGCTTCAGATTAATGTACATTGATACAAGAGCCATAATTACAACCTGCAGTGTGTTTTGCGATGTTGATTTTAATCAAACTCAGGGATATGTATCTGTTTTCCCATTTGTGTAATGAATGTGGTGGTTGCAGAACTAATGTACAGGGAGAGTCAGAGATATGGCCACAAGTTTGTGTGCATGTAGTCAATAAGCAGTGTGTGGATTTATGGAGCATTGCTGATTATGCTGTGATGTGAACATTACGCAGTTCGAGACATTTGACGACTTCTTCTTCTTCTTCTTCTTCTCTTCTTCTTCTTCTTCTTCTCTTCTTCTTCTTCTTCTTTCCCTCCACCCTTCTCCTCCTTCTTTCCCTTCCTTCTTCTTCTTCTTCTGCTTTTTTTTTTCTTCTTCTTCTTCTTCTTCTTCTTCTTCTTCTTCTTCTTCTTCTGCTTCTTCTTCTTCTTCTTCTTCTTCTTCTGCTTCTTCTTCTTCTCCTCCTCCTTCTCCTCCTGCTGCTGCTTTGCATTCACAACAGCTGTAAACTGGCCAAAAGTCATTATTGTTTGTGAACTTGGGGACTTTGGTCTTGTTCCAGGGCTTGAATTTTGCTTGCACATCTCTTTTATAGATTTAGTTTATCTGTGTGCAGACTGCTGTGTCCTCATCTCACAAGGATATGCAGTCTTACTTCAAAGGAAACGTCCTATCTACATTAACTAGGTGACCAGTAGGGAAGCTGTTTCTAGGATGACCACATAGAGGTGTAGGTAGGTCTTGACCAGTGTGCGTCCTGACTGAGGTGCACCACATGATTTGGTTCACCACCTCTGTATCCCATTGTTAGTTTGAAGAATTTCCTTTCTAATGGTCTGTTTATGTCATGTGATTCATTCAACATTTGCAGTCAAACGTGCAGCCTAATCTCTGTCTCACCTTGAAGTTGTAAGCGGAGTGATAACATGTAGAACTAGCATGCATTGGCTGTTGCTGCCTCGAAGAAGTGGTAATAAATTTTGCACTGTGAGTATTCGTCAAGTAATAAATACCCTTAACACTGAATGTTAACACATAGTAATATCTTTTCTTATATTTATATTGAAAAGTGGTAGTATATTTTGTACTGTGATTATTGAACAAGCAGTGCTTTTTTGTGTGCTGTGAACTAGTAGTATTTTTTTTTAATATTAAAAACCCAGAAATATTTTTTGCAGCATTTGTATTGAAGAACCGGTAGTGTTTCTCTATACAGTGAATATTGAAGTGGCATACCTTTTGTGCTGTGTTTTTATGAACTAGTATTATGCTTTTTTTTTTACCATCAAGAAATTTGAAAAGACCCTCTGAAAAGGTCAACTCTCTGACAGAAAGGCTTTGTTCTGGCAGTTACAAGTTTTTGATGGCCTGATGTCTGCGCATAGAGACGACTCCTATATATATAAG